TCGATCCCCAGTAGGGGGTGATTCTCTCTCCCTCTCCCTTCCTCTCTGAAATCAATAAAAATATATTTTAAAAATTTTTTTTAAAAATATGAACACATCTTTCCTTCTGGCAATAATGAATCAGTTACTTCTGTTAGGTCACTAAAAGTCAAGTACCACCTCCTTGGAGCTACTTTCAAAGTAGCACCCCAGAGTCAGAAAATGATAGAACTGAGAGGAGGGTGAGAGTCACCAAGTCTCAGTCTACAGTTGACAAAAGTAAAATCCAGAGAACTCTAGTGACTTGGCCAAGATCACACAACTCTTTTTTTTTTTTAATCCTCACCGGAGGATATTTTTTTCCATTGATTTTTAGAGAGAGTGGAAGGAGGAGAGGGAGCGAGAAACATGGATGTGAGAGAGACACATTGATTGGTTGCCTCCCCCATGTGGCATGTGGCCCCACGAGATTGAAGTTGCAACCCAGGTATGTGCTCTTGACTGGGAATCCTACCCGCCACCCTTTGGTGCTCTGGCCAACTCTCTAACCACTTAGCCACACCAGCCAAGACAATCACACTCTTTATCTTCCTATTTATTATTTCTCTTTTTACCTTAGAAGTCCAGCCGAAACCGGTTTGGCTCAGTGGATAGAGCGTTGGCCTGTGGACTGAAAGGTCCCAGGTTCGATTCCGGTCAAGGGCATGTACCTGGGTTGTGGGCACATCCCCAGTAGGAGATGTGCAGGAGGCAGCTGATCGATGTTTCTCTCTCATCGATGTTTCTAACTCTCTATCTCTCTCCCTTCCTCTCTGTAAAAAATCAATAAAATATATTTTTTTTTAAAAAAGAAGTCCTAGTGATGGCAGTAGGAGAGAAGTCTCAAGGGCTGCCTGCTGAAAGCTTGAGGATGTTTTTGAGGGTCTTCTAAGGAAAAACACACCCAGCTTTTACACCCGCTCACTCATCCCCAGTCCCCACCTCGTTCCACACCCAACCAGGCTGAGCTATGACTGAGCGACTGATGACATAGCCCCTCCATTTTTTCTTTAGTTGGCTCCAATTCTTTCAAAATATCTGTGAGATGAAGCCAGGAGGCACAGTGGATTAGGGCTAGATTCTTAGCTTACACTTCCCACCTCTCTTCAGACAGCTCCTCTTTGCCTCTGGGGTACAGACCAGGAAGAAGGAGGGAACTGAGCTTTTCCCAGATAGTCCCAACCATCATTTTAGAGGCTCACTTCCCTTGACTCTGCCTCATCTCTACATCATCAACAAAGTTTAACTCCTGGCAGGAAGGATCAAACTTAACGCTAGAAGGTTTCCCAGCTGCAAGGGTGGTTTGGCACCACCAAAGGGTTGATTGCCAGTTGGAGCAGTGTCACCATCTGGTCATGAGGGAACTGGTTGGCTGGATCTGGGCTTAACAACAGCTTCTTTGGGCGGGGGGGTGTTGAAGATGATAGAGGAGAGGAAGAAGATGGTCAGTCTGTGCTTCCCATAAAGGTTCCAATGATTCATTCAACTTTGGTAGAAAGCAAATACTAGGGTGGCAGGAGGAAGGGAGTGAGCCAGGGAGCTCTTAACTGTTTACAATGGAGCAAATGTCCTCTGGTGTTTTTCTGTGGACAAAATGTGCAGCCCGTCTTGAGACAGACAGCATGCTCCCCCCACGTGGTCAATAAGTGCACAGTTCAAGGTTCTGAAGCTGAACTTTCTCACCACGCCGGAGATAAGTCAGCCATTTTCACAGGCTAACAATCATTAACCCGCCTCTCCCTTCACCTGCTTTCCCCGACATAGTTTTGTAAAAAAAAATGAACAGGGTCACTCACTGAAAAGGTGACAGCAGTTGATCCAGCCAGTTTCTGCTTCCTACCCCTGAACACCTTCCCCATTGACCAAGTGGTAGGGGGAGAGGAGCACAAAAATAAGAAATAAATAAAATAAAAAACTGTACATCTTGGAGTTTGGACTGTAACCCTGCAAGGAAATCTCCCCCACTGCCCAGACAAAGCCTTGGCTTGAAGCTGGGTTTTGTATCCTTGATACAATGTGCAGACGAGCCCCATTCTATGATCATAGCTGAGCAAAAAGGCAGCTCCTCGCTCCAGAGAACCCAGTGCCCCTGCCAGAATAGAGGATTTGACTGCAGGGAAAGTCGGAATGTCTTACTGGTAATAAAAGCAATTTTTGGATGAGGTGTGTGGCAAATTATGACTCCTTCCCCTCTTTGCTTCCCTGTTAGCAAATAAACTGGCCTGAGTGAATGAGTCAACCTTGCTCTGGAGGAGACGGTGCCAGGACACGGGAACCAGCTGCACGTATTTAGCAGCAGACCAGGCTGCTCTCTCTGGCACCCTTCCTTCCTGTGCTTCCCAAACCAAGATCCCCAGCCTCTGGATTTCTGTTTGTGGAGAAAGTGCCCGGGGAGTGCCCAACTAGTGTTCCTGTTTGGGGGGCCCATAGAACTTTCCATCCTCATCACTTCCCAGACTCGGCTGGTCGTTTTCCCAGGGGCCATCAATACGTCTTGAGTCCTCTCTGCCTAGGACAAAATAGTAGGGAACTCACTGATATTTGTACATATGAGTTCAGTTTCGACCTAAGGATCCCCCAATTGACACAGTGAGTTGTGTAAATAATCTAACTTCCCTGCCCCACTAGAATGTCCAGGTCCCAGAGGACAACCAAGATTTAATTTGCAATGTCTTTTTTGTTTGTTTGTTTTTGTTAATCTTCACTTGAGGATATTTATCCATTGTTTTTTGTTTTTTTGTTTTTTTTTAGAGAGAGTGGAAGGAAGAGGGAGAGAGAGAGAGAGAGAGAGAGAGAGACATCAACATGGGAGAGACACATTGGTTGGTTGCCTCCCACAAGGACCCTGACCATGGCTGGGGAATGAGCCTGCCACCGAGGTACATGCCCTTGTCCAGAATCGAACCCAGGACCCTTCAGTCTGGGTCTATCCACTAAGCCAAACCGGCTAGGGCTCACTTGCAATTTCTTATAGAGCCAAGCATGGGGCTTTGCTCAGGAAATGTTTATTGAATTAAACTGGAGAACTTCTTGAAAGGGAAGATGACAGGAGTTAGAAGGAGATGATAGACTCCCCTCTCTGGAGAGAGTTCTTTAAGTGAGTAAATTCTCATTGAAACCTCCAGCAACTCAAATACTCCATCCCCATTATTCACCTCAAAATAGCCACAAGTCCTGTGAGCATTTGAGGACTCTGCCATTTCTCTCTGCAGTCAGCTTCCCAGTAGGCTTGGGTCTTTGGGGGCCTCACCTCTTTCTGTACATGATAAAAATTTGCTGGAGGCAGCAGGAAGGGACTGGAAGTTAGAAAGATAGACTAGCAAAGTCTCATGATGATATACAATTGCTCTGACCAAGAGGTATCCCTACCAGGCGGGCTGCCTGCCAGGGGGACTCCTCCTCTACCCTGGGAGCAGATATCAGCTCCATCCCACTCCTTATCAACACGAGCATTCTCCCTGCGTTTCCTCCAGTAGATAGGGCCCTCCACTGGCCTCCCCATATGCTGTGAGAACCCTGCCTGACTCAGAGATTCCGGCTGCTGGCAGCCCTGTGGAGAACCAGATAGTGGCCTTTGAATATTTTGTCAGAGGGTCTGCCCTATTTGCCCTCAACTCACCTCACCCCATAGAAACTTCAGTCCCCGGGATCACAACAGTGGTTACTCAATACTTTCGAGGAAGGCTTATCGGGGTGGAGGGGAGAGATTATCTCTTCCAGTGGGGCCCACTACCTGCGGCCTAGCATTGCTGACAATCCAGAGCACCCTTCCCCACAACACTGCCAAGTACATACTCCATTTGCAGCCCACCCACAGCCCACCATTACCTCCCCAGACCAGGCATGGTAGGATAGGGTTGCTTGGACCAGCAGAGACAATGTGGTCAAGGGCAGCTGGGGTCTGCTGGAGGTGGGTGGGAGCCCATGGAGGGTGGGGATAAGATGCCAGACCATACTTCCTGGATGATGTTTTCATCATTTCCGGCATGGAATGTTGTCTACCTTTGCTACAGATCATTAGTTCTGAATTCCTTTTCCCTGTCCCCAACCTACCCCTGACAAGGGAATATGGACTTACTGGTGGGAAATTCAAGTGAATATTTTAAAGTTTTATTCCCACTAGCTCTTATCCTTGAAAAATGCCTCCGGTCACCGCCTGATTCAGCCCCTGCTTCCTTCAGAGTTCGAACTGACCAAGGGTGAGGTTTTGGTCTCTGCACTGCTGCAGGGCGATTTCTGTTTGTGCAGGGGAGGAAGGCAGCATTGCTTCTCACACCTGGGCATCTGTTACTTTTATTTATTCCTTGTCTATATCCATGGCTGTAGTAAGAATGGATTGACTTCCTCTTGAACATCAATATCTCCAAGTACAAATGGAAGATCAAGCTACAGAAGCCCTTTCTAGGGTCCCCAGTCACCAATTTGTTGGTGTTTTTATTTAGAACTATATATCAATCATATTGTTTTTGTGTGAACACACATTCATTTTATTGCTTTCACTTATGTGTTAAAACCCCGAAGGTCCGAACTTTAAGGACAATAAATGAATGAATTAATCAGGCATTCAAAGGTGATTATTTTCTGGCCCTGAGCTATAGAGCCACATGGGAAGAGGGTTTGAGCTCCCAAATCAGAGGCATTTCCTAGACCCTAATGCAGTTAAGAAAGGGCCAGCAAGGTGACAGTACCCAGTACAATAAAATGAACTACCTTCTAAATTAATAACTTAAAACCTGAATCACTAGGACTTCAAGACTTTTTCTTTGTTCCCAAATAAGCGCAGTTGCAGACTTAGGAAATCAGGCATCTTTGCAAGAACCACGGTGATTTAGACTCTGTCCTTTGTCTCTGGCTGGGTTTCAGAGCCAGGCGGGCAGACCCTGGCACTGTCGAGCAGCGTGCCAAAGTTAATAATTGGCCCTGTGGAGCACATGGCCGATCAGGCTGTTTTTGTGTGCCTGGTTTTCTATTTTACGTAAATCACCCTGAACATGTTTGCATCAACCTACTGATGATGCACCTTTGATCAATAGATTTTAGACAAAAGTGTTTTTTGAGTCCAAAGATCAGGGCTGGGTTGACCTGCAGGCTGGTTACAGGGTGTATAAAACTGGCAAGACGCAGGCTGATAGCAGAGTTATCACCACCACGTCTGCAAGGGCTCAGCTGACGGCTTCCTGAGGGGCCAGGGAGTAAGCATGGAGGAAGGCATGAACGTCCTTCATGACTTTGGGATCCAGTCAACACACTACCTCCAGGTGAATTACAAGGACTCCCAGGATTGGTTCATCCTGGTCTCTGTGATCGCAGACCTCAGGAATGCCTTCTATGTCCTCTTCCCCATCTGGTTCCATCTTCGAGAAGCTGTGGGCATCCAACTCCTCTGGGTAGCTGTGATTGGAGACTGGCTCAACCTCATCTTTAAGTGGTGAGTAAGAGCCAGGCAGAGAGGAGATCGGCAAGGAAGGAGGCTGGCATTCTCTCTGGAAATGTCTGTCCATCAGAAGTCGCCTTCTCCATGCAATTCAGGAAGCCACGGGTTCCTCCCCTCCTGACTCTCCATCTGCTACATAAAGAGAGAAGACAGAGAAAGCCCTGTCAGTGAGTTGAAGATACAGGAAAGGCTATTTCATATGGACCGAAGGCCAGCTGGACTTAGTGAAAAGTCTGGATTGTAGGCTATAAGCAAAGAAATACAGTTTTACTGCTTGCAGCAGAATAGGCAACATACAGGTAGATGCATGAAAGAAGAAAAATGATGCATGAAAAAAGGAATCGTATAGATAATTTAAAAACGTGTTGTGTGGGGCAATGAGGAGGAATCCAGAGAACCGGGCTCCATCCAGGTTTTGTTCAGCCACCTACCAGCTGCATGTCCTGGGCAAGTCATAGCAACAATCTGAGTTTCTGTTTCATAATCTGTAAACTTAGGTTATCTCTGGGACCTTATAATAATTATAGTTAACAGTTATCAAACATTTAGTATGTGCCAGGCCATGGGCTGAATGTTTTTCTGGAGGTGGTTACTTATGTGACAGATGAAGAGAAGGTGCCTAGACCAACATGGGTAGTAAATGTCAGAGGCAGGATTGACACTCAGGCAGGCTGGCTCCAGGGGCAAAGCTCTTAAGAACCATGGAATAGCCAATGCTGATTAACTGACTCTTTCAGGGAAAGATGGGAGGCGGAAGAACCCCGATTTTAACATTTGCCAAATTCTACTGTTTATATATTCCCATGATAGCCACTTTCAAACTATGGATGGGTTTGACTTGCAAAAATCCTGAATATTTTATAATTGTTAGCCAGCACCAGCTGACTTTAGCATATTACTGGTTTGGCTTCTCTTTCGTCATCTAGAAAATGAAGAGTTGGACCAGCTTCCCTCTAAGCCAGTGGTTCTCAACCTTCTGGCCCTTTAAATACAGTTCCTCATGTTGTGACCCAACCATAAAATTATTTTCGTTGCTACTTCATAACTGTAATGTTGCTACTGTTGTGAATCGTAATGTAAATATCTGATATGCAGGATGGTCTTAGGCGACCCCTGTGAAAGGGTCGTTCGACCACCAAAGGGGTCGCGACCCACAGGTTGAGAACCGCTGCTCTAAGCCCTTTACCATCTCTAAAGCTATCTATGACTACTATCAGACGATTCTTACGTCTCTTTCAGCTCTAATAATCTCTGGCCATAAACAGTAAAAGTCCTTTAGAATAGAAAAAAAAAAAGATTATTGGGCTCAGAAGCCCAAGGGATTCTGAAATTTCTATTGAAAAAATCTAAGTTTTATCTGTAACATCCCCTATTAAAGAGCATGACCCTAAGCAATAAAAAGATAAATGGTTATTCCAAACATCTGATCTCAATTACAGAGTGATGGATTTTCTCTGAGTTGGTGGAGGTGAGAGTTAGTGGTTGTCCCTGATTTGGGTGAGCAATCACTATTCCACCACCACAGGGAAAAGGAGGCCTCCAGCCGGACCTCTGACACCTGTTTCCACGATAAAAGATCTAGGCCTTTTAAAAGGGAAGTTTTAAAAGGCTGGTGGGGCACAGTTGGCTGAGGCATCATCCCATGCACCAAAGGGTCGCAGGTTGGATCCCAGTCCAGTGCACAAGGGAGGCAACGGGTGGATGTTTCTCTCTCGCACCGAAGTTTCTTTCTCTTTCCCTCTCTCTTTCTCTCTCTAAAGGGAGCATATTCTCGGGTGAGGATTAAGAAAAAAATAAATTAAATAAAAGGGCAAGGGTTTGTCTGAGATATCCTCTTTCAAAGCAGAGGGCATAGAGCAAGCACCCGAAGCTATGTATGCATTACAGAGAGTTATTCTGAGGCCTAAAGAAAGAGCAGAGGGACCTGGTGGGATATGCAAATTTAAGTTGCGAACTGCAGTTCCAGATGCATCCTTCCAGGACAAATTTGTCTTGCAGTTTTAAGAAAAAGTCACCTAGCTGGCCGTGAATATGGATCTTTGGATCTCGGGTTTATTTATTTCTGTTTTAATAAATACTAAATTCAAATAGTTGAAAATCCAAAAATTATATAAAGGATGTACCAGACAAGTCGACCTCCCCCACCTCTTCCCAGCCACCCAGTCCACCTCCTTGGAGGTGGCCAATGGACCAGTTTAGGGTCACATGGATCTTCTTCTCAAGCTACTCTCCCTTCTCAAAGGTGTGGGCTTCTGGCAAAAGGGTTCCTTCGGTAACCTCGGCATGGGTTCTGCTTTTCCACAGGATTCTCTTTGGGCAGCGCCCGTACTGGTGGGTCCTGGACACGGACTACTACAGCAGTACCTCTGCACCACTGATCAAGCAGTTCCCTGTCACCTGTGAGACTGGACCAGGTAAGAGTCCCACCCTCTGCACAGACAGAAGCTGGGCGCACCTTGCTCACGTGGACACCTATTAGCATTCGTTGTGGGTGACGCTGTCTTTGAGGGGACATGAGGAGAGCCATTCCTTCCCGCGTCTTCTCAGGGTCTTCAATTTGATACAATTCCATTTTAGTTGATCTCAAGAAGGCCTTCCTGCATCTCATCTTGCTGCTGCTTTGGAAATCTGCCTGATGTTTCCAAAACCTTAATTACTAACCCAGAGAGGCAAGCACCCTCACGGGCAATGGGCTCATGAGAGTAAGTGTGCAAGTGTGCAATGGCCCTTTGCCTGGGAAAGGTTAAGCCCTAGAGGCCTGGTGCCCCGGCTGTCCTTCCCAGAGGCCTGGTCTGGCAGCTGTGTCCTCCTGAGCTGACCTATCAGGCCCACAACCTGCCAGTATTTGGCTAATTACAGCCATACTGGTATTGCTCAATCAAATGACAGCTTTTGTTTTTTAGTAGGTAATCAGAAAATGCAAACCCTTCACTCATCTTAAGTCTCCCTTACCCTTAGGAAGGGTGCTGGCATTCTGTCCTCAGGGACCCTACCCCTGACCCCCAAACTAGGGCATGGCCCATAGTTATTCATTCTTACACACCCGTTGTTCACTTCAGACCATGTGCATTCATTCAGGTGTCATTTATTGAGCACCTACTCTGTTCCAGACACTATTCTAAGAACTTGAAATACCTCAGTGAATAAAACAAAGATCTCTGTTCTCGTGGAGCTATTTGAATGGTGTGTGTGTGTGTAACACATAAGTAAAATGTATAGAATATTGGAAGATGATAATTTAGAAGAGGGAGGAGGAGGAAGTAGAGGGCAGGAGGAGAACAGAAAAGACAAGGCACCCTAGCTGGTTTGGCTCAGTGGATAGAGCATCAGCCTGTAAACTAAAGGGTCCCAGGTTCAATTCCAGCCAAGGGCACATGCCTAGGTTGCGAGCTCGATCCCAGGGGTGGGGTGCAGAGGGCAGCCGGTCAATGATTTCCTCTCATCATTGATGTTTCTATCTCTCTCTCCCTCTCCCTTCCTCTATGAAATCAATAAAAATATATTTTAAAAAAAGAAAAGAAAAGGCTTTGCCTATGGGGTTCCCTGGAAAGCAGACTCAGATGGAGATCAGCATACAAGAGTTTCGCTACTCTCAGGAGCAACACTGATGGAAGGAAGACTAAAGCCAACAGGGCAGAAGGAGAAGTCTAGTTGTGATTCAGCCTCAGCCAACTCCACAGGGAGCTCTGAAGCTGAGGATGGCCCTTAAGAGTTGCCTGAATTGAGTCAAGAGGAACAGGCCCTTATACTCCAATGTAGACCAGTGATTGGGTACAGGCCAACCCCAGGAAGAGATAACCCTGATCAAAATGACTCTCTCAGCCGGAGAAGGCTGAGAGCTAAGGCCCATCTGTAATCACACTTTCAACAGCTGAAAAAATAAGTCCTTCTGTCCAGAAAGGGATCTGAGTGGAGGTTGGCATATCTCAGGACCCTCTATGTCTCAGGGTAGAGGGATCAGGAATAGGGGCCGGTTGCAGAATTAAATAGTGTGATCAAGGTAATACTCATTGAGAAGTTGAGATCTGAGCAAAAACTTGAAGGAGGCAAGGAAATTAGCCAGTAAATTTCTGGAGGAAGGGTTGTGTGACCAGAAAGACTAACAATGCCACGACCCTGAGGTGGGAGCATGTTTACAGGAAAGCAATGAGGCAGGCATGCATGGAGCAGAGGGCACAAGAGTGGAAGAGAGGTTATGGAGGGCTAATTAGATCCTTTGTGTAATCTCTAGACTGTATATAAGTACAAGAACTGGGCCTTCTCTGGTTTTGCTCATCACTATACTCCCAGAGCCTAGCAGAGTGCTGGGCCTGCAATAGGAGCTCAATAGAGACTTGTTAAATAGGTGACTAAATGGATAAATGAATGGATGGCATGATGGGTGGATGAATGGAAGGATGGATGGGTAGATGACACCCCCTAGCAGTCTCTAGGATGGAGACTTTCACCTTTAGTTCATTCATTCATCTCTTCCCTGCCCTTTAGGGAGTCCCTCCGGTCATGCCATGGGTACAGCAGGCGTTTACTATGTGATGGTCACATCCACCCTCTCTATCTTTCGGGGAAAGAAAAAGCCCACCTTCGGATTTAGGTAAGAACTCAGCCCTGGGTGTGGGTGGTGGAGAGCAGGGGGCGGCTTTCTCTGTAGCTGACACACCACTTGCTCTTCCTCACATCCCCCTAGCCCAGCGGTTCTCAACCTGTGGGTCGCGACCCCCTTTGGCGGTCGAACGACCCTTTCACAGGGGTCGCCTAAGACCATCCTGCATATCAGATATTTACATTACGATTCATAACAGTAGCAACATTACGGTTATGAAGTAGCAACGAAAATAATTTTATGGTTGGGTCAGAACATGAGGAACTGTATGTAAAGGGCCAGAAGGTTGAGAACCACTGCCCTAGCCCATCCCACACTTTGGGTTGGTACTGATAAGAGCTGCAGCATGTCTGCTGAGTGTGAAGATTAGAGTCACAGAATGTTAGGGCTGGAAGAGACCCACAAGTGCACATCCTAATTTTACAGATAAGGAAACATGTTAAAGAGGCTTCTTGAGATCAGGTAGTTAGGTAGTGGCAGGATTTAAACAAAGACCCATTTCTGTACCAACCATAGAGTCTACCCATCTACATTAAAATGAACAGAGAAATGTAAGACATTCCTACTACAGGGAATTCTGGGTATGCGGCCATTGTGCAAATACATTCTCATACACAAGGGTTCACCCCGTGCCACAGGCATCTTTGAGCTTGTGAGGACAGGCATTAATTTACAAGTATTCCACTGATGAACCTAAGTTTGCCAGGCTTCAACACTCCTGCTGAAGCTGTTCTCTTTGCTGAAGGATGTGTATCTGGGTTCTGTTATGGTTGCCTCTTCCGTTGCAGGTGTTTGAACGTCATTTTGTGGTTGGGATTCTGGGCCGTGCAGCTGAACGTCTGTCTGTCACGAATCTACCTTGCTGCTCATTTTCCCCATCAGGTGGTGGCTGGAGTCTTGTCAGGTATCGGCTGCTCTGGATCCCTCCCTTCCTCTCCCACGTATCCCATTTCTCCATAATCAGGACAAAATCCCAGCATGCCAGCCATAGTCTGTGGTTATCAATGCTGTCAGCATTTTAGTGGGCTGAAAGTCAAGGGTAGGTCATTTAATATGATTAATTTCTATGGGAGTGCCCAGATCTACATTTAAGTGTGTTCCAGACAAGCTGCACCACACTAAATACCCAATTAAGTTAGCTTGAAATCTCTGAGCTTTTTACAATCTTTATTTCTTACTGATTTTCCATTGGGAGTGTCCCCTCGTTTAATTTTAAGGGAATCTACCAAACTTAACAAATTAACACAGTGTCCTAGGAAAGCTCTTTATTTAGATACATTCATTTGCAAACCTAATAGATACATACTCACACTTGGTCATTTTTATAGGTTTAGAGTTTTTAATATTTGTGGTTTTTTTTTATATCCAGTTAATGAGGGGGAGAAAAGATTTAGGCTAAGTGTAGAAAGAATTTCTTGGCTTTGCGGTAGGCATAGGAATATAAAACCTTAGGGCAATTGTGGATTTTTTTCCTGGAGATCTGTAAGAGCAGAAAACAGTGCTGAGAACAAGAGAGACAATGAGTTCATGACAACTACAAAGTAACACAGCATCCAGCACTGGGTTCCGTGTTTGAGAAGGAGCCTGGAAGCCATGTTACATGAAAGACCTGGGAATGTGTAGATTAGAGAGGAGAATAACTATCCTCAAATGTGTTAAAGAAGCTCTGGATTTACCACTTAAGTCCTGCAGAAAGAACTGAGACCAACAGATGGCATTAGAGGGGGACAGACTTCAGTCAGCTCAGCAAAAGAAAGAATGTTTGAATAATCAAATCCATTCCAAGGGGAAATGGGCTGCCCAAGTGGGAGTCAGCTCTCCACCCCTGAGGCTATTCAATGAGAGACATGAGGACCCCGCACAGGAAACAAGCAGGCAGTAGGAGGATGTGTGGAACAATACTCTTCCATCTGAAAGAGTCTATGGGTGAGGAAAGGCCGGAGCCACGTACCGGAATAAACCAGGTGACCCTCTAATCTAGCATCTGTGATTTAATGGGTGACAGGTGACATGTCACCCATTGGGTCCCAACCCACCTCTAGCTGAAGGTCCAGAGTCTTTCCTATTTCTCACCGTCACTCTTTCTCCCGCTCAGGCATTGCTGTTGCTGAAACTTTCCGCCACATCCAGGGCATCTACCACGCCAGTCTCAAGAAGTATTTCCTCATTACCTTCTTCCTGTTCAGCTTTGCCATTGGATTTTACCTGCTGCTGAAGGGGCTGGGCGTAGACCTCCTGTGGACGCTAGAGAAAGCCAAGAGGTGGTGTGAGCGGCCAGAATGGGTTCACATTGACACCACGCCCTTTGCCAGCCTCCTGAAGAACCTGGGGACCCTCTTCGGCCTGGGGCTGGCTCTCAACTCCAGCATGTACAGGGAGAGCTGCAAGGGCCAACTCAGCAAGTCGGTCTCGTTCCGCCTCGGCTGCATCGTGGCCTCCCTCATCCTCCTGCACCTCTTTGACTCTTTGAAACCCCCATCCCAAGTCGAGATGATCTTTTACGTCCTGTCCTTCTGCAAAAGTGCAGCAGTGCCCCTGGCATCTGTCAGTCTCATCCCCTGGTGCCTTGCCCGGATCCTGGGCCAGTCAGACAAGAAGTCTTTGTAAGGAAGGTGGAAACTTCAGTATTTAAAGTCAATGACTGAGCCGAGGATTGAGGGCAACCGGCGTCTCCCGCCAGCCCACTTGACGACAGAAGTGCCTGAGTCAGCTTGAGCGACCCCCTTCCTCCTATGCAATTCTAATTGTATTGGGGGATGTTTTTTTTTTGAAAAACTAGTAAGGGTATTTGAGAAAGCCTTGTCTGTTAGAAGTCGGGTAGTTCTGGGTTTTTCCCTGAAGACTTACTCATTCTTCTGTCAGATACACAAAAGTCAGACTTCCAGGTAGGGGGACAGCTCACGGTCCCAGGCTGGGAATCCCACCTGAGAATGCTCTACCCAGGCTCATTCTGATCCAGAAAAGGAGAAAAGAGAAGTGGATTTGATAGGAAAGGAAGGATGGATTAAGGAGGACTTTTTAGCATCTTGAATATCATGCAAATTATGTCAAACAATACCTAAATGGCTTTGGTTGTACTTAAACCTTTAGGTGAGGGACTCTCAATAGTGGGGGACCAACCTGAAGTGTAATTAATAGGTGGTTAGTGGGGTAATTCTGCATCTTGTATTTTTCTATTATGTAGCTGTGGTCATTGTATTGACCAGGATTTCTGAGTGGCTGCAGTGACCTAGATTTGTACGAAGTCAGAGCATTCAGGCATATTCAAGCTTCTCCTCTGTCACCCTAGATCTTCCTCCTTATTAGCCTAGCTCTGCTTTCCCCAAATTTTCCACTGGCTCCACACCCGCCCTGCTGGAGACTCAGATGCCTAAAGGTGACTCTGTGGTGGAGCTTTTTCTGTTTCAGCTAAGCCCTGAAATCTTGGGCAAAAGGGTGAGGAGAGGCAAGGATTCCCCCCTCCAGAAGGTCACTCCAATGTTACTTTTGATTCCTGCGGGTACCCATGACTCCTTTCTCTACCCCACGCCAACCAAGAGCACATTCCTGGAGGGAAAGCCTCCTTGCCTGTCCTCCAGTGTCAGCTGGTTTGCAGAATATGTCCTAAAAAAAAAAATGCTGAAGTCTATTTATTTGAGAGTCCTTGTTGTTGCTACTAATTATGTAGTTCGCCATATATTATCATTCACACCAACCTTCCTGGTCATAACATCTTTGAAAAGAAAAATATATATGTGCAGTATTTTATTAAAAACAACATTTTATTTAAGAATGAAGTCTTGTTGATTACTACATTTTAGATGCAATGAGATCTGAAGGTTCTAATTCTGGCTCAGCTAAATTTCTAGCTCTTTCCTTTATTTCCCTAAACAAATAATTTAGTTTCTGTGTACCTATGTTTTCCCCTTCGAGAAAAAAAAAAAGTGCTTTCTCTTGAGTTGGCCAGGAGCCCCAGTAGAGTTAGGGAGACTTATGAAGTGTCCATGGGCCACAGGTAGAGTTGAGCACAACACAGGCACAATATCATTGGCTAAGACTGAACATTCCTTACCAGACCACAGGTCAGCAGGAGTTGCTCTATGGGTCAAACCACCACTTGAGGGCAGACAGGCAGGGTCATTACCAAACTAAACAGGAAATGTAAGTTGTAGCAGGAGAACGAGACTGGGCAGACTGGAATGCATGACCCTGGTCAGCAAGGTTTGGGGTTATAGTTAAAGAAAGTCTGAACAGGACAGGTCATGGCACCAAGAAGCACTCAAGGGAGCTATTGCAAGTTTCTCTACGGAGTGATTTCTTTCACCCTGGATGTCCTGAGGCTGAGATCTGCTCACTCACCTCAGAACTTTGAAATGTGTTTATTTAGGGGAAGTTGAGTTCCCCTCCTGGATTTGTTTGTTTATTTGTTTGAACCAGGCCCTAGGAGACTGTAATGGTCTCACCAAGGGAGAAGGGAAATGGTCTTGTTATGTCTGAACTGAACCCCACTGCTTAGGCAGAGACCTCATCCTTGATGACTTATTTGTTCTCAGGGGCCCAGTCCAGGTTCCTTGCAATGGGATTCTGGCAGAAAGTAAATAGTGCCCCTACCCCAACAGTTGGTGAAGTTGATAAAGATCGTGATAGCAGATAAAATTTTATCGAGTACTTACTATATGCCAGACTCTGTTCTATGCATTTTATCTATTTATACAATTAACTCACTTAATTCTCCAGACATCTCTGTGCTATAATTTACCCTCATATGACATATAAATAGACATAGAGGGGTTATGTGTCTTGCCCAGAATGGTGAAGCCAGTTTAAAAACCAGGCAGTCTGACTCAGAGTCCATGCCCCACCCTCCACCTGCCTCACCCCCATACCTTACCGATATCAGTAAAATTGGCAGCTGTATCAAACTATCTTTCAGATACCAGATATGACTCTTTTTTTTTCTTTTTGTTAATCCCCACCCAGAGGATCTTTTTTCCATTGATTTTAAGTGAGAGTGGAAGGGAGGGGGAAAGACAGAGAGAAACACTGATGTGAGAGCGACACATCGATTGGTTGCCTCCTGCACGTGCCCCAATTGAGGCTAAGATCGAGCCTGCAACTGAGGTATGTACCCTTGACTGGAATCAAACCTGTAACCTTCAGTCCACTAGTTGATGCTCTATCCACTGAGCCAAACTGGCTAGGGCCAGATATGATTCTTAATTCAAACCATGGAAAATCTGATTTCTTGTAGGCAAAGGACATTATAAAACTTAGAATGATCCTCCCAGTGGGCTACTACTCGTTTCTAAGATGCCATATTTTAAAGGTATTTCATAAAATTACTATTAGAACAGGCATAACCATGTTAGTTTAACAGCAGTGCTAAAAACAATTTTTTAGCTCTTTGCTTTCTCTCTCTCAAGAAAGAGATTAAAGGTCTTGATCAGACTATCTGGGTCAAACAGTAAGGTAACTTACTTCTTGTTTTTACAATCAAGATAGAGCGAGAAGATAGAATTACCACAAAGAACTTTTGGTATAAAGCCGTATGCAGAGGTAGAAAATAGAGATGCTGTGGAAGCTTGTTTAGATCAGAGACTCCACAAATACAAGATTGCTACCTTTTATTGGAATGAGCAGAGTCTAGAAATGGACAGACCTACGGGCTTAGAATTTATAATGGGTAAAGGCCAGAAAGGGGGTCAGCTCATGATCAACTCAACATATAGCCATTGTATTAGCACATTCTGATCACTGATCTCTCCCCAAGTTACAGAGGTAGGTTTGCTTTTAAAATGACTTGTGAATCCTCAGGGTGGAAATAAGTTTAAGTGACCAATGACAGTTATAAACCAAGGTTCATGGCATGTTATAACATAATTTGCTAGATTGTTCTGGCAGTCTAACAGTTTTGAGGAGGTGGGTTGGGGTTGATACACACACCCCAATTGTATTACTGCCCTGGGAAAACAGACCCATTAAGAAAGTGCAACTTCTGCTCTCCAGGCTAATGCTGCTGTACCACAGGCTTAAGGCTCTTGTGTTTGCTTTTGTACTTTAACAAAATTGATATAGCTTTTTAAAAATTTATAACAACTTTTTTGAGGTGTAATTTACAGACCATACAATTTATCCATTTAAAGTGTGCAATTCAATGGCTTTTTGTATATTCAGAGAACTGTACAACCATCACCACAAATCAATTTGAGAACATTTTTGTCACTCCATAAAGAAACCCCATACCCATTAGAAGTCACCTCCATTTCACCCCAACCCACCCAGCCCTAGGCAACCACCAGTCTATTTTTTGTCTCATAGATTTACCTATTCTAGACATTTCATATGAATGGAATCATGCAATATGTGACCTTTTGTGACTGGCTTCTTTCACTTAGCATAATGTTTTCAAGAATCATTCATGTTGTAACATGTATTAATACTTCATTTCTTTTTATAGTCAAACAATATTCCATTGTAAGGATGTAATAAATTTTGTTTACCTGTTCATTAGTTGATGGATATTTGGGTTGTCTCCACTTTTGGCTATAATAAATAATACTGCTATGAACATTTGTGTACAAATTTTTGTGTGGAACTATGATTTCATCTCTCTTGCATATATATATATATACCTAGGAGTGGAATTGCTGAGTCATATAGTAACTCTGTTTAACCTTTTAAGGAACTGTCAGACTGTTTTTCCAAAGGCTTAGTAAGGAAGTTTTACAGTATTTCTGGTTTTGCCATCTCTTTGGATTTCCTAAGGTCATACCCTGTATTATGTCTTTGTCTAATTCTTTTCCTTAAAGAGTTTTAAAGCAAGATTGATCAGGTGATCAGATTTTAACGAAGAAATGTCAATGGGCTCCTCCTACTTTTGTCGGCAATGGCTTTATTGTTCCAGTATGCATTCCAAGAGCATTTTGCTTGAAGACATATCTGGATATCTGAAGTTCCGGCCCTGATCAATTGACTAGTTGTAACCTGTCAAAATTTGCTGACTTGTTTCCTTGAAAACCATTACTTTAGCTGCTGAATTATTAACACTTATTGATTTTTCTCTGTAGTAATTGCAGAACTAGGATAGTTGCCTTTAAGGCTTGTATGTGTAAATAAAATAGGACAATATTATTTGTAACCAAGTGATGTTCAAGAGCCTCTTGAGAATGGAAAACCTTTGGCCAAATAGCCTTCTGATGATGTTGTTAAGGAAAGAATCAACTAGAAATAGTACAAAGAAGCAGTCAACAAAAGCCACTTCCATTAGAGAACCAAAAACCTAATGAATCTAGAAGAGAAACTAGAAATTGTCCAGTCCAGTGATGGGCAACCCAAAGCCCAAAATCTAATTTCAGAGTGAACGATGAAAGCGCTGCTGCTGGGTTGTTACTTCCCAATAAAAAGGAAAAAAAGTCTACGAATATTTTAATTTTTCCTGAATTGACCCCTTTGTTTAAGTTGCTCACTATTCATTCTATTCAAAAATTGTTTTCATGTCACAGAGTCAGAAATTAAGGCCTTAGCTCCTCTAAGTCACATAAGTAAGTGTCCCCAGGTCTCGTGATTCTTAACAGAGAGCAGTCACCCTTTGCCTGTCTCCAGCATTTGCCTGGGCTGCTATGTCGACATGAAGCTGCTGAGACAGAAGGGAAAGACATAAGCAGACACTGAACCACTTCTTTGAACCAGATCCAGAGTTTGTGAACCAAATTAAAGCCACAGCTAGAATAACTATGCAAGGTGGCCTGTTCCTAATTATGTTATGTGCTCGGCGCTTCTTTTGCTTTCATAAATCTTTCCAGGGCAGAAATGTAGCTACAAGAAGAAACAACTTGGTGTTTTTATGTGTTTTTTTTGTGTGTGTCTTTTTAGCATGAGGTTGGTTTTCCAGCCAGAAAATGTTCAATGCTTTCCTTTATGCTGTCTTCTCTCTTTCTTCTTTCGCTCTTCAAGTTCCTCAGTCATGGCCTTCAGATCAGCTCAACTCACTTCAGTGTTTGAAAACTGGTAGAACTCTACTCATTCTGCTCCATCACAGAACTGGGGATCTGATCCTTTATTAGCTGCATTACTTTCTATCCAAAAGCAAACAGATTGAAAATCTAACTCCTTTCTCCTCCGTTGTGAACAGCTTGGAACTCCTTGGTGAGCGCATGCCTTCACAATTTCATCTCTCCGCCTCCATCTTTCACTCTGATCTCCTCCTTCAACACCAGCCCATTGGCAACATGCCACTGATCCCTGTGTGATCACCCCAGTAATGAACTCAAGTGAGCCTGTTTTTGTTGTTGTTAATCCTCACCTGAGGATATTTTTTCCCATTGAATTTTTTTTAGAGTGGAAGTGGGGGGAGAGGAGAGAGAGAGAAACATCAATGTGAGAGAGACATTGATTCGTTGCCTCCCCCAACCAGGGCCGGGGATCAAACCTGCAACCCAGGTATGTGCCCATGACCAGGAATTGAACCAGAGACCCTTTGGTCTTTGGGCCGATGCTCCAACCACTGAGCCAAACCAGCCAGGACTCAAGTCAGTCTTTTGAGAGATGGAATTTGGCTTAATTGATTTGATAACCCAAGTGGCATAAGTCAATTTCTTTGGGTCATGTCTTTAGGCTGCCAAAGCCCTCCTAACCAGGCCATTCCCCTCCCCACCCCCACCCCCAATACAGTGAATACAATGGGATGACAATGGCATCAACTTTCCCTACAGGCTGTAGTGAAACCACCATGGACACGTTACACCAAAGCCTCCAAAAAGTTCCTTCGCTTCAGAAGCCTTAGGTGAGGCCCTGGATCCTGACAGGTATCAGAGCTGATTCAGGAAAAGCTGATTCAGCAACCCCAGTCTTTGATCTGGTTCTCCAAGCTTTGTCAGCAGGTTTGCTAGTTACAGTGGCTGCCAAACTGTTATCTCCAGAACTATGCCCTTTCTCATTTTCTATCTATAGTGCTCTGCACAACTACACAACATGCTTCTAAGAACTTCCAAAGGTCAAATGACCCCAAACATAATGACTGGTGAGTTCATTCCCCAAACTGAGGGGTGGTTGAGCTCAATCCACTTCAAGAAAAATAAAACACCTGGGGAGGATCCTGCCCACTTTGGGCTCCTCCACCTGAAAGAGTTCAAGATTTCCAGTTAGTTCCAGGTATTCTTTGGGGATACCTTCAAAACTCAATCCTGCAGGAAGATTAATTGGGGGAAATGAATTTGAGGAAAAACAAGAAAGTGTTGGAAAAGAGCTTGGTGAGGGGAAGAGTTGGGCATGAAAACAGGTTTCCCTCAAATGTTATTCTGAGCTGAACCTGCTGGGAAGCCCAGGTCAGAGAAGATGAAGTTGGAATGTTCCATTCTCTTCACAGGTAGGGGAGATTCTCATACTACTGCCAAAACACTATTATTTCCACACAAAATATCTATCAAAGAAATGGTTCTCAAGTGAGGGCAATTTTGCCTTTCGGATGACATCTGGCAATGTCTGGAGACATTTTGGGTTGTCATTGCTGGAGGGGTGCTTACAGGTATCTAGGAGGTAGAGGCCACGCAAGCTGCTAAACATCCTACAGTGCACAGCCCCCCACAACACAGAATGATCCTGCTCGAAATGATAATAGTGCCAGGACTGAGAAACCCAGTAACCAACCAGAGAGGAGAATCATCACAATTTACCTAAAAGAATTTTCTTCCAGTGACTGTTTTTCAACGCAGCAACTGCTGTGCAAATGGGTCCTCTGTTCTGCCAGAAGCTTTCCCTCCAACGAGGTCAACTTGTTAAAG